AAAATAAGACAAGGCTGGAGTCAGGTAAAGAAGCTGCTGGCTGAGTGAACAAGGTTGGTCTGGCTTCCTTTGCCTTCCAGACCCTTCAACAAAGCAGCATAAATAAAAAAAGGCAGCCACAGGACAGGAAAGGAAACTTCTGAAGATAACACTTAAAAGCAGAAGAAGACAGCAAGTGTTCACTGAAAAGACATCCACACTACAGGCCTGACAAAATCTTTCCTTTCTTCACTCAGCACGTTCACGAGTGATCTGAAGGGCAAGAAAGAAAAGCATGCAGGAAAGAAAGTCTGTTAACAAGTTCTGGCAGTGTGTGTGAAGGAAAACTGTGGGAGCAAAGAATCCTAACTTGACATGCAGAATGATGGGCGTTGGAAGAGCTGCTGTCCTGCAGGAGAGAAACACTGGCACTGCAACACAGGAACATGGGTTCAACATCTGGCAGCAGCAAAAACGAGTAAACTGAGTCTCAGAAATTACTGGAAAAAGGAAAGGGAATGCTACTGTGCCCCTTTAAATCCACAGGGCAGCCTTACAGGGGACTGGTACAGCCTGATCTACACCTGAAGTGATGATAAAGGGTCTGCAGCTGCTCAGCAGGCTGGGGCTCACATCCTCTACTCTAGGGAAGTGGGAACTGAGGGAGGAACATGGAGCTAAAGCAGCACAGAGGAAACAGGGAGTGATTACTGACTGTTTTCTGCTGATCGTGGGCAGGGAAGGGCAGGGGTTAACCTGTCCCAGCACAAGGCAATGCCTTTTCACACAAGGCACAGCAAACTATTCTAACTGCTCCAAGCGTTCAAAAAATAATTAAACAGACAATGGGGGGGAAAAAAAAAAGAGATGGGAAATAATTCAGGTAAGAAAAACAAAATCAGCTGTAGCTCAGGAAAATCTAAGATCCACTGGGGATACAGCTGTGAACAATCTGCACTGCCCCGCTTTCATTTTCAGATAAGGAACTGCACTTAGAGTGGCTTTTATCATGGCAAGGTGTACAGCTTCAAAGAAATAATAATAATAATAATAATAATAATAAACCCAACAAAAAAGAAAAGCAAAAAACCTGAAAATCCAAGCAAGCACTCCCTTGCACCAGATGCCTCACATAAACAATCAGCTCAGACACAAATACATCTTTTCAATAGAAAACAGCAATGTGCAATCCCTTCACACTGCAAAGGAAAATATTTGCTGGGGATGCTTCCTCCCCAGGCAAATTTCAAAGCACTTCACAAAAACCTTGAACCTGTGAACAGGAGAGATTTATAGCTCTGGACTTGTGCATGGGAGCAACGCTGCTTTTGAAACCTGGATTCCTGCAGGAACAAGATCTGGATTATGCTGCTCTCGGGGATGACACGGGTCTCCATCCAAGCTCTTCCAAGCCGGAGAAATGGGAAAGAAGGGCAGCGGGGCCGGACCACGACAAGTTTGATGTGCGGGGCAAACAGCGAGGCCACACATCATCAACAACGCCCCAGAGCCCGCGGGGGAGCGCTCCCTGAACCCCCCGGAGATCGCTGAGCTGGGAAGGGACCTTTAAAAATACAGCACGGGGCCGGGACAGGGACACGCGTGTGCGGAGCTCGGCGGGGACAGGGACACGCGTGTGCGGGGCTGACACAGGGACACGCGTGTGCGGAGCTCGGCGGGGACAGGGACACGCGTGTGCGGGGCTGACACAGGGACAGGGACACGCGTGTGCGGGGCTGGGATAGGGACATAGGTGTGCAGGGAACGGCCGGGACAAGGACACGCGTGTGCGGGGCTGACACAGGGACACGCGTGTGCGGGGCTGACACAGGGACAGGGACACGTGTGTGCGGGGCTGGGATAGGGACACAGGCGCGCAGGGAACGTTAGGGACAAGGACACGCGTGTGCGGGGCTGGGATAGGGACACAGGCGCGCAGGGAACGTTAGGGACAAGGACACGCGTGTGCGGGGCGGGCGGGCACTTACGGTGATCCTGCCGCGGTAGGTGCTGCGGAGCCCGCGGCACTCAGCCGGGAACACCCTCCTCTCCTGGCACACCGTCCCGGCCGGCACGGCGGGAGGGGCGATGGACACGCCGACCAGCGTCAGCGCCAGCCGGGTCTCCTTCAGCGCGAACTCCACCGAGGGCACATCCTGCAACGGCACCGGGTCAGCGCGGCGGGGCCGGAGGAGGGCCGGGCGCCGCGCCCCCCGCCCCGCGCCCCCCGCACCTGCACGGCGCGATAGACGCCCTCGCTGACGGCGTAGTTGAAGGACTCGATGTGGGCGCTGGTGAGGTCGCGCTGGGTGGTGCCGCGCCGCGGCGGCCGCAGCCGGTGCGGGTCCGGGCGCGGCCCCGTCCCGGTGCCCGCCATGCCGCGCGCTCCTCCTCACGGGAAGCGGCGCGCGCCGGGACCGCCGCGTGCGGGGCTCGCACCGCCTCCCGGCCCCGCCCCGCGCGTGCGCTCCACACTCGGCCCCGCCCCCGCCGCGCGCGCCGCTTCCCGGCTGCTCCAGGAGCGCGTCCATCCCTGCGGCCGCTCCAGGGACACGGAGCGCGTCCCTCCCTGCGGCCGCTCCGGGGACACGGAGCGCGTCCATCCCTGAGGCAGCTCCAGGGACACGGAGCGCGTCCATCCCTGCGGCCGCTCCAGGGACGAGGAGCGCGTCCATCTCTGCGACCGCTCCAGGGGCACGGAGCGCGTCCATCCCTGCGACCGCTCCAGGGACACGGAGCGCGTCCCTCCCTGCGGCCGCTCCAGGGGCACGGGGCGCGTCCCTCCCTGCGGCCGCTCCAGGGGCACGTGGCTCCTCCATCCCTGCGGCCGCTCCTGGAGCGCGTCCATCCCTGCGGCCGCTCCAGAGGCGCGGGGCGCATCCATCCCTGCGGGCGCCCCAGGAGCGCGTCCGTCCCTGGTGCCGCTCCTGTCTCCAGAGCCCGCCCCGCAGCTCCGTCCCGCCGGGCTGCGCTCCTCCCGACAAGCATTCCCAGCTCCCCTGGGTCCCCCTGTACATCCGTGTCACCCGTGTCCCTCCCCCGGCCCAGCCAGGTGCGCTCCCGGAGCAGGAGCCGGGACATCCAGCCATGCCCGTCGCTCTCCGCCACTTCCGCACGCCGGGAATCCCGAACAGCCCCGCTGTTCCCAGCTCCCAGCGCTGCCGGGACAGCCCAGTGCCCGGGCTCCTGGGCACTTGGCAGCCCAGGGACCCGCTGCGCCAAGGAAACACCGCAGGCCGTGGGGTTTGCATGTTTTAATGATGGTTTAGAGAGATGCGGATAGATGTGAGCTCACCGCAGAGCCGGGAGCTCAGGCATTCCCAGCCCCACATGCACAGGCTGGCGTGAGAGCAGCCGGGCACACGGTCCCGGGGCTGATCCTCGGCAGCGCCCCGTGTACCCCAAATCCTCTCAACACCAGGGTTTCCCAAGGGCTGCCACAGCAGACACGGTCATGGAGCACGATTATGAAGGGCACGGCGTTGCTCTCCCGGGAGAGAGCTGCGTGTGGAGAACGAGAAATGCTGGGAGCAGGGACATGCAAGCAGTCCTGAAGGGCACTGGTCACAGTCACCTGGATGAAATCGGCGATTGAGCCTTTCTTAGACTTCTCCGGCGTTCTCCATGGACTGTGGGATTTCAGCAGAAGCACAACATGACTAACTCGTATGGAACAAGCCTCATGGAAGTTACCTGAAACCCAGAGTCCAGTGGGACCAGACCCTGCTGGACAACGCAGCTGGAACACCTGGGCCAGAAATTCTTCATGGATGACATGAAGGGATACAACTAAGACTAGAGACATTCTGTGGTATGGTAGGTGTCTTCTGGAAACCCAGCAGTATCCTGGGTGAAAGCTCAGGAAAGAGAGTAAGACCTTTTCTATTGACCTTTTAGCTGAAATAAACTAGAAAACATTTATTGTTGTATATTCCTAAAAAAGAAACAAAACAGAAGTCTCACAGGGGCTTGTGAGCATCACTTGCAAGGTGCACCCAAGGCTGCAATGCCCAGGCCTCGGCCACACACACATCCTCTACTCCACCTTGTAGCTATAGGATTTTGGGCAAAACTTTAGGCACTGTGCTCTCTGTCCTTTATCATTTACCTTCTGTGCTTTACTTTGGGGGACACTCAGAGAAGGTGGAAAATACACATTTTACTCCAGAGGATGTTGCTTACTCCTGAAAAATTCAGCAAACAGAGGATTCAAGTGTCCTTGAAACTCTACCTTCCCCAAGCCCAGCTGGAAAGGCAGGGTATGAATAGCTGCATCATCTGTAGTTGTGGCTGTACCACCAAGCATTATCTAAACTTCCCTTCTGAGGAGAAGGATGGGTCCAGCCCCCAGAATCTGAGCACTTCTTGGTTCATTGGGATGGGGAAAATTTTCTGTTCTCATCTGCCCTAGTGTTTATGAGAGCTCAGACACATCCTTGATGAGAGCAATTGCTGTGAGATCTTCCCACTGCTGGATAAAAACCATGCAGTTTTAAAGCTCAGCTAAGCCAACATGAAAATGTCAACGGAGACGTGGTGAACTTTGCAATCTGAGTAACAACCCTTAACAGCCTGCATTTTACCTTGGTGAGTTACCACCACACTTCACCCGGACTGCAGTGAAATTCTGACACCTCTGTGCTATCAGAAGGTTAGAAAACCCAACCAATCCTTCCCCCAACATCCTTCTCCCTCCTTACCACTCAGCCCCTTCCCATCAGAACTGCCTGCTGCATGAAGAACTCTGAAATCTCCATCACAAGCAGAGGTGAGTACACCAAAATGCTGGGATCTTCTGAGGAGGGCAGAAATTCCATTGCTGCTTCACTTCCCATTACACACAGGCAGCTTGTAATCTCCACAGTGTTCTCCTGGTTGTTTGTTTGTTATGGGGAACAGGAACTGGTTTCTGTCCATGACCATCTCTCCCTGCCAGAGGGATGTGCTGGGCTCACGCTGCAAATTCAGACACACTTCACAAGTATATCTGACAGAGGTTTAGGTCATACTTGAAGCAGATGTTTGCTCTGAAATGCAGAGACCTCAAGGAATCTAACCTCTCCTTCTCCCTCCAAAGCACCTGATTTCTCAGATGTGTGGCAAACAGGAATGTCTCTCCCGGTCTACAAAACCTCACCCACCTTACCCCTTAGCTAAGATCAAGTTGTGGACTGTGTTCAGGGCAGAAGATTACAGTATTTGTCAAACAGATGAGAACAAAACTGGCTGGAACAAATGAGATTTGGGTAGAAAGATTTCAGGTCCAAGCCTCAAGTAAATAATGAAGGGGAAATCTGAGAGAAGAGCCTAAATTGATTGCAGTGCCTCAGAAGAAACTGAGATCAGGTTTCTGCTACTTGAAACACTCAGCACAAAAGTGATGCTCAAAATCCTACAGCCTGCTGCTGAGCTCTGAGGGGGTCTCTCTACCTCTTTTAAGCAGAATCCAACTGCCTCAGACTGGGACAATCACTGATCCAAATCTCAATAGGAAAAGGGATAGCTATAAATAAAGAAAATCACCTTCCTTGCTTGGGTTAATTCACCACCTGCAGTTCAGCACCCTTTACCAGCCATTGCCTGGGTGTTCAGCCAACCAGCTTGGAAAATGACCTAAGGAAACTGATTTCTTGGTGTTCCTGGTTTTAGGCACCAGGAGAGCTGGCTCCTTTCTATGTAACAGAGCAGGAACAAAGGAAAGGAGTCACCTATTTGGAGCTGAGCTAAGGCACTAATGATGCAGTAGGTGAGGAAAGGATAAACACAGCAGGAGGAGGACAACTCCATCTTCTCTCCACTCAATTCCCTTAAAAAACCCAATGTTATCTCTATAGAAAAGGAGGAGCTAATACAGCATTACAGTATCCCTGCTGGGGTTTCATTTTAAGGTTGTTCTGTTGTACTCCCAGAGAGATTTGTTTCAGGTATCAAAGTCACAGGAGCTGTTTCTAAAGTGGATTTTGGTGAATGCAGGCAGAGTTATCTGAGCAGCTCTGGCTCATCACAGCTCTGTGAGGATGCCTGTTTTGTTGTTTTTCCCTGTGGTCTCCCAGAAAATATGAAGCCTGTCTCTATCACTTTTTGGCATGTTACTGAGATAAGCCACCAGAGTGTGCTGACCCGAGGGGTGCAGTCTCTCCCTGTTCCCAGAGGTGGCAGCTGTGTCATCGTCACAGCTTGATGAAGATCGAGGATGACTGGCTCATCTTCTGCCCAGTGTCACTGAGGGGGAAAACGCTGGAGATGGCTACATCCACAATTCCTTGGCAGAGCTCTGCATACAGCTTCCTGAGAGATGAGACAGAGAGAGAGAATCAGATACCCAGGCAGGACAAGCCAGCAGATGCCTGGCCAATTTTGATGTTTTTATGTCGAAATGCGTTTTCCCAGCAAAATCTACAAGATCCTACTCCCATCCCAAGGAGTTTCAGGGGGGAAAATAGGGGGACAGCAGTATCTCTTCCACCTCCTCTCTGTTTACACCAACAAATATCTTCTTTTTCCATGGTGGTAATTCCCAGTATTGCTCCCTTTCACAAAGAACCACAAAACCCATTACCTATGTTTACAGTCAGAGGCTCTGGACCCTCAGGCCCCAGACTTGAATCTCCACAAGATGCAAACGGGCAGAAAACATCTCAGGGCTCCCTGTACCAAACTTCCAACTCAGGGAGCTGGGGTTTACTGCACCAGATGCTGTTCACACTGGAATGTGGACCAGAAGGGCTGCACTGATGCATTCCTGGTTTGATGAAATGCTGTGCTGGGGTGCAGCTCAGGGGCTCCACAGGACCCTGAGACATGTGGGACGTGTTTCACCATGGCACAGCAGGATTAGGGAGAAGAGAGACAAGGTGTTTGAGTTAACAACAGCTTCATTTTCTGCTGGAGGAAATGCACGTGTAACCTCCCTGAATGTGCTGGCATCTGGCACATATTTAGTACCAAACCTGTTTTTCCCAGGATTAACAATGTCTTTACTCCATGTCACTCGGTTTATGTGACAGTGAGATGTTTTTTTTTCAGCTCCTGGGAATGTTATGACTTACAGCAGCCATTTTTTTCCTCTTTAAACGGGAGCTGTGTGATACAAGCGCTACAAATAAAAATAACCCTGAACAGGAGAAGTCACAAATAGCCAAAACCTACCTCAGCTGCTTTCAATCTTCCAAGTGCCCAACAAAGCCCTTGCTCTGCTCTTCCAAGAGGCACAAAACAAACAAGGCATTGCTGCAATCCAAATCCACCCAGCAACAGCCAAGTTCTACCCTTACAGCAAGACACAGAGGTGCAAGGCAGTCATTGCACCATGATGCACATGGGCAATCCTGGACACAGAAAGCTCCCCAAGCTCTAGCCCTGAAAAAGCTCCTCAACAGGCTGTCTGGTAAGGTTTGACCTGCATTTTTTTGTCTACTGTTAGTGATGATCTAACCTAATTTAATCAACATCTAATCTGATCAAATTCTAATGCAGCGATGTACAGCCTGTTCTGTTTTTCTGGGTTTTTTTAATATGATACAGATGCTCACTTAGCAAACATTTCTGGTCTCCTGCAGCTGTCTCAGTCATGTAATACAGCACTTTCTGCTGTGCCTACACAGAGATGTTCATGGCCAGGGCTGTTTGGCTGTTCCTGCCTCCCTGTGGCTGCTGGAAGAAGCTATAACCTGATTTCTGTGATACCAAAAGGGTTAATTCAATTTTTACTGTGCCTGTGAACTCTTAGCAGAGAAACAAGGCATGCAAAATCTGCTTTCCCAGCAAGGATGGCTGGAAGGTGAGAAGACATCTAGCTCAGGAATGCAGGCACAGCCAAAACAAGGACTTAATCTGGGAACCTGGGGAGAGTTTTTGGTAATGGGCAAATTGTAACATGCATGTAGTGACTGAATGTAAGCAAGACACTTGTAAATCACATGGACACAAAGTCAGGAGTTATCCCTGTGTGATTTGAATAAATGATGCTCTTCTTAACACTAAATTGGTGTTGAGTCTTTATTCCTTAGGTTTTCAGAGATTTGGTAACATCTGCAGCATGTACAGTGTGCTCTGTGGTCCTGCTGCCTGCAAATTGAGTCACTCACTTCCAGCTGCTGCCCTTAATGCTCCTCATTTAACATGTGCTCATATAAAGAGCAGCCACCAGTGGTGCCACAACAGAGACTGAGAAACAATCTGACTCCCAAAACATTAAATCTGCAAACATAACTTCAACCCAAAAGCAGTAAAAATGACCCAAGTGATATTTTTAGTGCCCCATCCCACATGGGAAAGAAGCTGGGGGATGCCAAACACAGAGAGAAGAGTAATGAACCCAAACTGACTGGCACTTGGGAGTCCAGTGTTAGCCTGGAAAACTCCCTCACCATTCATTTTCTTTCACCTTTTTCACTTGGAGCTGGGACACAGCCATGTTTTGGGTGAGGCATGTGAATGGTGGCATCAAAAGGGTGTTCCAGAAACTGATTTACTCACTGGGCACATGCTGGGGCCCCATTGACTTCAATCAGCCAGACCTTCAGCTCCTCATCCACCATGAAGTCAAAGCCAAAGAGCTGGAAGCTCTGGTAGTGAAGATGCTTCGTGCTGATTGCAGGCTCTATACACATAAGGCAGCTTCTGTGAAGGGAGAAACAGGAGCTCAGGGTTAAGGCTGCTGTGGACAGGTTAGGTAGGAGGGGTTGCCCTGGAACTCTCCCAAATCACAAGTTATGTCCAACACATGCCATGCAAGTGAGATTCCATGAAAATCCATGTGGGGACACCCCTGAGTTAACTCACAAAGAGCTGGAGAGCATCCCCCCTCACCACTGGGTCAGGCAAGCTGAAAAACATGATGTGCAATGCCACCAAGGGCTGCAGCAGGTCCCCAGGAATTGCCACTGGATGCTCCTTTGCCTTCAAGTCCCTCAAAGATCACGCCACATCTTTTTTAGCGCAATTAACAGCAGTGGGGTACTGGCAAAGCAAATCCCTTCATGAAGGACTGTTTTGTCAAACCTGGATTCTCTGCAGCACCAAGATCTCTCTCCAGGCAGAGAGTGCCCAGGAAGGAATTGGGCTGAGTAAGATGACCCAGGCAACAGCCATGTGCTGTGCTGGCTGATGGTGGGGGAAGCATCCAGAGTCTGCACACTTGAGTTCACCTTCACCTCCCCTCTATCACCTTTATGCCTTTCTTAATCTCAGCCTCTCCAGCCCTCTCCTCCCTTTTCACTCCATCCTTCTCCAGCCACAGCTGGCAAATCACAGAGACGTGGACACACACCACTGAGGCAACAGCACTTATGGTGGTACCTTCTCACTGAGCAGTGACATGGGGCTATTTATGGCCTTATCCTAAATTTCTGCAATTGAAACCCTTTCCTTCTTGCTCCGTGTCCATACTCCCTGTCCCTGAAGGGTTTTGCCCTCCTCAGCAGCAGGCAGCTGGCTACCTTATGATGTGTTTGATTTGCAGTAAGATGCTGTTCTCAAGCGTTGTGTTCAGGGCATCCATCAGATACTGGTTGAACTCCTCAAAGAACATTTCGTTCCCTTCCTCGTAGCGCCCGTAGTTTTTGGAATATTCCTTCTGGATGCAGTGATTGGTCAAGTGGCAGGTTTTGTCCTGGAAGTTAGCACTGTTATATGGTTCTGAAGAGGTCCGCAGGACACCCTCTCTGTAGAGGTAGATATTATATTGATGATCCACGAGAACCCAGCTCCTGGGGGAACAAACAGGAGGACAAATTCTACTCTCAGTGGCTCCCAAAGAAACAGCATGAACAAGAAAACTGCTGTTACAAAGGCAGGAGAGGTTACCTGATGTCAAACTTGCGATGCCCTGGCTCTAAAAGTAGAGGATTCTCCAGGTACTTCTGAATCACGTGCACTTGTCCCTGCTCATCGATGAAGTCCAGGAGCTCTGAAGCCTCTGAGGAAATCAGGATCCCTTCCCCTGGCACAGAAAGTTGAAGGCAAAATTAGGTAGAGGATCCTTCTACCTTTGTTGGAGCTTTTTCAGGCCCCCAGTGGCTCATTAGCTCAAAAAGCAACACGCAGGAACACGTGGCTCCAGGGTCAGCAATGGCACAGCCACTCCATGGGAATGAATCTGTGGAGGGATCTCTTCCTTGCCACCCCCAGAAACCAGCCCTGCTGCAAATGGGAACCAAGGGGATCTACAGGGCACAGCCTGCCCAGGGCATGTCTGCAGGGGGGTGGCTGCTGAGGTGAGAGGAGATGCACAGCAGACAGGGACCTGGGCAAGCAGGGAGGCAGCTGCTTGGCTTGGGGGCATTCTGGTTTCTTTTATGTCTTTTTCTTTCTTCCTATCTAGGCTTGGCACGGGTAGGAGGATGTGGTAGTGGTTGTATTTGGCACTTGGCAAATTTGGTTTTGTTTTTCCCTGGTTTTCAGCAGTTTAGAGAGAACAGGAAGTTTGGCACATTATCTGTAAAGATTTCTGCCCTTCTTTTTTATTTGGGGACGGAGATTTGTGGGACTTTTTATCCCAGACTCAAGACTTTCTTTCCCTGTCTGGCATCTCTGGCTGCCAGAGGCAGTCACACATGCACACTTGTGCAGTGCTGCCCTGCTCACTGAATTCACTTAAGTTATTATTAAAATCATTGCTGAATAAGGAAAAGTACCATTTTAAATTGCTCATCCGTGTACTCAGTGTTCCAGCTGTGGAAGCTCTTCATTAAAAAAATGAACTGTGCCATTTAAACACTCCCACATTTTGGCTGAAGCTGTCACTGTTCATCACTTGCAAGAGTCCAAATAGCAAACTTCTGTTGCAGAGCACTGAAGAGAACCCATTTTCCTTCTGGGATTTCATAAAGGAAGGGCATGGTGCCAGGAGGGATAAGCCAGCTCAGGTAGAGTTATCAAACCCTCCTCTGGCACTATGCCCATTCTTGAGGTATTAAGTTTTCTGGACTAAACCTGACTACTTAGTCTTAATTTTGTGCTGAGTGTTTTTGATGAAATACTGTGCAAAAAAAAGCCCACTCTTCAAGGGGGCATCAGAGGGGTAACAGAGGTTTGAAGCACAGGCAGGGTTTGACAGGATCATTCAACAAAAAATGCTCCTAGCTGTGATTTCTGTGATTCCTGTCAGCACAGCCCTGCAGCTACTCCCACTGCTGCATCCTCTGCTCAGCTTTCCAGCTCTACTCTCCTCTCATTCATCCCAGCACCCTCCACTGAAAGGAAGCCTGAAATTAAAGTATCTCACCCATGATTTATGCAGAGGGCAAGATTTTTTAGTCTCCTGATCACAGCAGAGCAAGGCAGAACCTTGCACTGGCAAAACTTCAGGCTGTGCACTGGGGAAAGGAGGGAAACAACATCCCTAAGCCAGCAAAGCTGCTGCAGTGGGGAGATCAGCAGGCACCTGCTCCACATGGACAGATGGCAAACCCAGGGGAGGGTCAGGGCAGCCACCCAGTGAGGCAGCAAAGCAGCTTATGTGGGGCAGCTGGCAAAGAAAACACCAAAACCTCCAGCCACAGCTGCCAACCCTTCAAATGTTTGACTCAGGGCATCCTAAACCTTGAGTTTTCCTGTTACTGATGGATGACTAAGCTTCTGTTAGACCTGTCCCAAGACAAGGGCTGTGCCTGAGCTGTATCTTTCTTGGTAATTAGCATGAACAAGCTTTCTTCTTCATCAGAAGTAATCCCCAGACATATAAAACTTCCCCCTAGAAGATTACCCCCTAGAAGATGAGACTCTGCTTTCCACTTGAATTTGCAGCAGCACAGTGATGAATACAAAAGGCTACTCTGCTTTAGGGCAGAAAAGACGGGATCACATGTGCATGAAGTATCTGAAGAGCCTGCACCTGCTCAGCCTGCAGCAGACCACAGCAACCGCCTTTCCAAATGCCCAGATGGATTTTTCTGCCAGTTTACCCCATAGAAACACATTCTTGCACTGGCATAACAAAAGGACTCATCTCCCCTTCATTCCTGATGAAAACAAGGATACTCTTCCAATTCTTCTTGGTGACACAGCCAAGAGAGCAGGACAGAGAGGGAAGCTGGTGTAAAGGACAGTTTTATGGTGCAGCCAGCTCTGGCTTTCACATTCTCTTTTCTGCAAGGCTGCATGCAAAGTGACTCTGCAAAGATGAGTAATGGGGCTTGTTCTCTCTGAAAAGACCAGGTCCCTCCTCAGGCTGGGCTCTGCTGCACACACAGCAAGGTAAGTTTTTAAACATAGCCATTCTAACAAAAAAAAGTGCCCACGATAAGACCATAACTGACAGAGAGCACACAGTCACCAAAGCCCTGCATTTAGAGCTGTGTCCAGCCACCTCACAGCTCCTTATTTCTGCAGAGTGAGTGATGGAATGACCCTGGAACAAGGAAGGACACATTATCACTGGGGTATCTGTTTGTCCTACTCAGATTAAATGGACAGACAGACACTGCATTGATTGTCTGTGCTCTGGTACCTTCCCCTGAGGCCTGGGTACAACTGTGACGCACTGAGCTCGTGGCTGCTCATTGTGACCACAGGCAGGCCACTGGCACCAGGCATGTGAGTCTGGCTGAAAGACAAGCAGGATTTGCACCCAGGAGAAGGCAAGTTAAGCTGCAGCACGGGGAGCTGGGCTCCTTGCCCTTGCAGGCTACTGTCCTGCCTGCTGACTGCCTCCCTGTATCCTGTTCTGCTCCCTCTAACCTGCTCTCCACATTCCCCCCACTTGCTGGTCCCTGCTGTGTCGCAGACATCTTTTAGGAAAAAACCTTTCCTTAAGATTTTTCCTCCTGAGAAGCTGAGAGGCCTCAGGAACAAAATGTAAACAATGGTTATCTGCTGCTGTGGAATGCAACAGGTGGATCCATGATTGGCCCATGCTGGATATTTGTAATTAATGGCCAATCACAGCCCAGTTGGCTCAGACAGAGAGCCAAGCCACAAACCTTTGTTATCATTCTTTGCTATTCTATTCTTAGCTGGCCTTCTGATGAAACCTTTTCTTCTATTTTTTTAGTACAGTTTTAATGTTATATATATAATAAAATAATAAATGAAGCCTTCTGAAACATGGAGTCCGATCCTTGCTCTTCCCTCATCCAATAACCCCTGTGAACACAGTCACACTGCTGCCTTCTCCCCACAGCACATTCCCACACTTTGAGGTGCATGTTCATGTCCTAGGCAGCACATGCACACACCCCTGCCTGTCTGGCATGGCCAGTGGAGCCCTTCACAGACACATCAGCTCAGCCAAACCCTGTGACCCTACAGATCATGCAAAAAGAGTGAGGAATGATGAGGAGCAGCTCCTGGTGCTGGAGAACGAACCTTTGGCACCAGCAGAGGACTTGGCTATCCACACGTTGCCCTCGTTGCCCTCGCGGCGCCGGTTGTAGGCGGCCAGGAACACTTCCCGCTCGTCCGTCCTCGAGTTGTTGATGAGATGGCGAATTCCATTCTGGGCTGGAGCCACCGGGGTCTTCAGGTTTGTTGGGTAAATCACATAGGACTCAGGGAACCACGTGCAGGACTCCGACAGCTCGGGGCTTGTCTTGATGAGCCTGGGTGAACACAGACAGGCTGTTAATGTCCAGGGCGTCCCCACCTGCATGGGGCCTTTCTAATAAAGAAAAATCATCATTAACTGGGCTCTTTTGCTTGATGATGAATGGCAGCTTATGGATAGTCTGTGCTAAATTATCCTGTTTTCCTTAGACCCTTCAAATTAGGGTTTTATTAAAGATATCATGGCAACCCCAGCCCACAGCAAAGCACTGCTCTTTGAAGCAGAACCTGCATGCTTTCATTAAACATTTTACTGATATCATGAAACTAACAGCTGAGAAGTTTTCCCATAACTAAAGCTGGTGCTGCATTCCCTGCACAAGGGAACTGAGGAGGGATTTTCACTGACATGGCTCAGGGCAGGAAGGATCACAGCTGGAAAAAGGAAAGCCAGAGCAGTAATGCTGTCTGTGCTGGTGCTTAGCCCTTGATCCCATTCCCACTGAGACAGGACCAGGTGTCCCAGCTGTGTATGGGACACCTCTGGGAAGCCACAGAAAGCAAGGGCACAGCTGAATGTTTCACATCCCAAGGTGTCTGGAATCCCTCAGGCACATCTCTCTGGAGACAGCAGCAAATTCCTGTTAGCAGAGCTCAGGCCTGTTTTCTTTCCAAGTCAAGGGAGCTGCCTGCCTCTCCAAATGCCTGTGCTTTGCTTAAAGCCAAAAGTGGAGTTCATGAGGTGCTGACTCTCTGTGCATTTGTGCCTCTCTGCTGGGATGGCAGTGAGTCAGTGGCACTTTGGGAGCCCTGAGGAATGTCATTTGTTGTCCTGTGGTTTCCTAGGTAGCTTGATGCATGCTTGACCCTAGAGTTAAAAAGGTCAGCCAGGCTGCAGGATATAAAACCAGGTGTGCAAGTGCTTTCAGCACTCCAGGTAACAGGCTAAAGAGGAATTCATCTGAGGAGTGCTCTAAGTGCTTGTTTAAAAATACTCTGCCCCTTTCTGACAAACACCATCACCACTGCCAGGAAATAACTGGGAAGAGGCTCTTTGCAGAGGAAGGAGAGGCCTTGGATCAGCACACCCAGCCTGCAGGACTGCATTAGTGAGAGGCAGCACAGACTGTAATGGGCAATCAAAGGAGACCAAAAGCTCTGCCATAAAGCTACAGAGTTTGCACAGGGACAGGGTTATTTACCATGAAAGTTCATCCACATTTCCCCAGGAGACCCTGGCATGGCAGGTCATGCAGAAATAACTCCCAGAGCTCTTCCTGGAGATGTCTCCAAGCATTTGTTTGACCAACAAATCTGATTAGCTAAAGGCACATTAGTGTCTCTTCTCTGTATGGAACAGAGAATAAAAGGAGAAGGTTTTAATTAAATGTCTACAAGGAGAAAGAGCAGATTCGTTTGGGTTTCTTTTTCCCTTTTGATTTGGCTCTAATCTGATTCAATACAGTCCATGGTTTCAAGTAGATAGAACTCAGTGGAAATGGCATTTCCCCCGAGGTTACAGAGAGGCCTTTGTGCACACAAACAGCTCCAGAGAGCAGCCCAGGAGCCTGAAGACAGCACATGCACAGGGCAGCTGTTGTGTGAAATACCCTCCAAACAGGTTCAACACTCAACAAGTGTTAGAAGGGAAACTTCTGCCAAGCCCATCTGACATTTCAGTGGATTTCTTACTTCACCAGAGATGCTTTGCGGCACAGTTTGTCTGCTCCCCTGTAGTAATTCACCAGCTGCACAAGTCCAGGTTCGTGGCCTGAGAAGGGGAAACAGAGGTCAGACAAACTCCAAAATGAACAAAGGCAAAGCAGCTGCTTCGTGCAAAGGACCTGTGCAGTAGGGGAAAAGAAAGGAGGCTGTTTCCTTGCCCTGCATTACAGAAACAGGTTGCAAATTGCTCCCTGTGGTTTCTTTCATTTAGTTATAAAAAACGATGCAGTTACCCACTTGCTTTTAATCTGACACATCCATCTTGCAAAGGAAAATAATTTTTTCCTAATTCACACTGGGAACTGGGAGGTGCTCTCCATCTGCTGGTGTAAGCTTGTAAGAACCAAGATTTCAGTCACTGTTAAATACAGGTGGAGGATGCAGGGAAACACACCCTGACACAAAGATCACAGCTCAGCAAAGGGCCTTTTTGCTTTGTCATGTACAGCACGATTCCCTCTTGGGCCTGAGACCACAAAACACTGGGAAACACTGAAAAACTTGGAGCCTTGCTTCTTTCTAGCAGTTTGCAACAAGACCTGTTGGACACCTGAGGTGAGGAGGAATCTCTGGGAGTCTCTGCTCCAACCTCTTGTCCGAAGTCTGAGCATCTCCAAAGACAGATACTGACTTTAAGTCCTTGTCCCAGGGCTTGGCTGTGTCCCCTTGACTATACTGGTGGCCCTTCCTATAGTAACTCCAGATGTTTAAGTCTTCACCTTTTCACAGGACAGAAACACTCGTGCTCAGCTGGAAGCTCCCTGAGAGGGACCAGAATCCTGAAAAAGGATTTAGGGTTTTACTTATCCTCCTTGGTACCTGCCTGGGAAAAAAGGCCTGGAGCAAACATTACCTTAAACACCAGGCAGCTGCAAGATCACAGAGAGGGAATATCTATTTTCAGCCTGAATGTCACTTCCCTGACCTGGGTCACTTTTATTCACAAATCTTTAAATACAAGATAGCTGAAAACCATCCTGCAGAAAAGCTCTGTAGCTTCAGGCACTTCAAGGTGCATCCAGCACAGGCAGGTTTTTTTCTACTGAAAAGAAAATAATAAAAGCCCTCAAATTTTCTTCTGTTTCCAGTTTATCCTGGGGAGATGCATCCTCACTGGGCTCCTGAGCATTGCCATGGAGCAGTGGGCTGCAACACAGAGTTGGGTGGCCAGCAAAGAGGGACCACAAGGCAGGAAGGGAAACTTCTGGAGCACGTTATGAGGTCTGCAGCACGCATTTAGTGGGATTAAAAAGCTGCCAAGGCACTGACCAAAGTGGCAATCCTCTCCTGGCCAGCAGAGCATGGAGCCCAGCATCCCCTGCTATATGAGCCTCTTCCTCCTTTCCATCCCCTCAGCACAAACTGCTTTTCTCCTAGATGAGGACACAGCTTAAGGGCACAATCCCTCAGGAATTAGGTTATCAGTGAGAGCTGCAGAGGTCCCTGCAGCTGGGCAGAAGCAGTGGTGCATGCTGAGTCCCCACTTCTCTCCATGATCCAGCTTAGGCCCTGAGTAATGCAAATCCCTACAGTTCCCTGAATTAATGTCTGCTTCCACTGAGTAGAGCCCCTAGGAAAACCAAGCCAGCTTTGATGCAACAGTTGCTCAGGAAGAAGATAGAGCTTTTTGGAAAATGCACCAAAATAACCATGTTATTTCTGGTCTGACTCTACTGATTTCAGGCAACCAGTTCCTGCTATAGGAGGATGGTTTAAAGATGCCATTGCCAAAGCATGGCCCCTCTCCATGGGTTATAGACATGGCTTGGCTGTGAGAAATGGTTTGAGGTTTTTGTGCATCCCATGGCAACACATGCTGGAGAGCTCAGGGAAGCTCTTCCATCACTCCAGGACACTTTTAGAGGATGGAAGGGGTTAGTCAGAGATGGCCACAAGCCCACCACAGCTGGATGTGCTGTGCATGCCCACTCTCAAGGAACTGCACTCATTCTGCAATGAGGCCTGATGCTCACAGGTCCTCCATGCTGAGCAAGTTAAAGCACAGGTCTGCCTGCTGTGCCTGCTGCAAGCACATGTGAGCATCCTCATTGCCTGAGCCTCTCCTCATGTCTCCCTGCCTGCTGCAGACACTGGCAGTGACCAGATGGCACTGCCATGTGATGGGGACTTTCCACTCACCAGTGTGCAGGAGACAAGGGAGAGGTGCTGGAACTGGTGACTTGCAAATTGTTAAGAGCAGCCAGAGATGGGTCTCGGCTGCAAGAAAGGGGCTGCAAGAAAGGGGCTGCAAGGCCATCTTGCACCAGAGCTGCTGGACTGAGGGGGCTCTGCCTCTTCTGATGTTCATGCAGCCAGAAGCAGTGCTGCAAAACCACCCCAGAAAGACAGAAACCAGGGCCAAGATGACAGTGCAGCCCCGCTCCCTGCCACGCCCTGCAACACCGCCAGTGCCTGCCTTGGCTCTCCTGTTCCTGGGCACTCTCCCTCCCTGCTCCCGGGCTCTGCACCATCCAGCAGGGCACAGGGCCAGGGGGGCTGTGCCATGGGGCAGCACCGGCATGGCAGGCAGGGCACAAACCTACACAGAGCCCTGCACGGTGGCAGGGTGACACTGGGGGTCAGGCAGCAGGGGAAAAGGTGGTGGGGCAGCGGTTTTAGGGGGCTCAGCACACACAGAGCCTCTGCAATTACCCACACCCTGCTCCAGACAGGGACAGCGCTGTCACCCTCACCGAGCCCTGCAGAGGCACATCCCCACCAGCTCTCTCTGGAGTGAAGGTGTGAACGTGCCTGGCTTAGCCGTGTTCCTGCTGCCTGAGACAGGAGGCAGAACAGCTCTAAGCCCGATACCACATAAGCTCAGCACCGCAGTGTCCCTGCCCAGCAGCAGGCAGGCGATGACACCGGAGCCACCGCGGCCCCACAAAGGCACCGCCGCTTGTCCGGATCTCCCCGCAGCGGAGCGAGCGGCCCCAAGGGCACCGCTGCAGGGCAAGGAAGGCGCTCCTGGGCTGCACCAGAGGGGCGCCGGGATCCCCAGCTCTGCCGCATGTCATGGGGGAATCTCCGGGTGACCCGCGTGTCACCCCCCCCTCCCCGCCCTTTCCACTGCTTCACTACATCACAGGCCTCAAGCCGGGCGGGTGTTTGGGGGAACCCGGTGAAATCACTCTCGGGGAGCTTGGGAAAGGATCCTTCGAGCCCCGGCTGGCGGCAGCAGGGCTCGCAGAGAGCCGGCTGCGCGGAGACCCCGCGGGGCCTGAGCTTTGTTTGGGCGCCGGGGCGGCCGCCGAGCCGCGGGGACAGCGACAGGGACGGGGCGGGGAGCGGGGCCGGGGCCACTGCAGCCCCAACCGCGGGGGCTCCGAGAGGCTGCGGCGACCCGCGGGGACGCTGCCCTGCGGCGGGGGACACCGGGGACGGGCGGGCACAGCCGCAGCCACGGACCGAGGGGGAGCGGGGAGCGCCGGGCGCCGCGGCTGCCGGCGGCGGGGCGGGCGCGGGGAGGAGCCTTACCCAGCCTGCCGAAGGGGAGCCGGTTCCTCTCGCCCAGCATGAGGTTGAAGCGGGGGTTGTCCCTGCGGAGGCGCCGCCACTGCCCGCTGGCCAGCAGCAGCCGGCTCACCTCGGTGTACACGCTGCTGCCCTCGTCCCGCACCACGAAGGTGTACATGGCGGCGGGGCGGGGGGGAAGGGGCTCCCCGCCCTACCCCCGGCGGCTCATGGGGCCCCGCCGCAGCCCAGGCAGGGCCTTGCGCGGCCGCCGCCGCCCGGCCCGGCTCCGCATGGCCGGGGCCGCCGCCCCCGCGCACCGCCCGACAGCCTGCCCAGGCGGGGACTGACCCGGAACCAGAACCGCCCTCCCGAGCCCGATCCTGGGCCCGAGCCGGCTCCGGCTCCTGCTCCTCCCCGCCCCGTTACGCCGTGCAGCCGCCGGGGCGGGGCGTGCGCCCGCTGGGGGCCGGGCCAGCGTCTCCGGGGCGTGACACCGGCCGGCATCTGACACTGCCCGGGATCTGTCACTGCCCGGGATCTGACACCGGCCGGGATCTGTCATTGCCCGGGATCTGCCACTGCCCGGGATCTGCCACTGCCCGGGATCTGTCACTGCCCTGATCTGACACTGCCCGAGATCTGACAGTGCCCGGGATCTGTCACTGCCCTGATCTGACACTGCCCGGGATCTGACACCGCCCGGGATCTGACACCGCCCGGGATCTATCACTGCCCGGGATCTGTCACTGCTCGGAATCTGACACTGCCCTGATCTGACACTGCCCGGGATCTGACACCGCCCGGGATCTATCACTGCCCGGGATCTGTTACTGCCCTGATCTGACACCGGCCGGGATCTGGCACTGCCCGGGATCTGGCACTGCCCTGATCTGACACTGCCCGGGATCTGTCACTGCTCGGAATCTGACACTGCCCGGGATCTGGCACTGCCCGGGATCTGTCACCGGCCGGGATCTGTCACCGGCCCGGTTCTGTCACCGGCCCCGCCGCTCCCCGGTGTGACTCGGCCCGGGGTGTCCCCTGTCACCCAGGCTCGGTGCCTGCAGGCTCCGCTGCCCTCCGGTGCTCAGGACCCCTGGGGGATGCTCACCCCCGGCCGTGGGTGTCGGTGCTCAGCTCTGAGCCAGGAGATCTCCTCCTTCCTAATCCATTTGACTCTTCCAATCACTCCTTATCTTCTCTTACATTGCTACCTAATTTGATCCTTCTGCTTATGGAAAGGTCTTCTTGTTTGTAACCACCACCTCTGTCTTTCTCACAAACAAACCTGCAGCAGGCCAAAGGTATCTCACAAAGTCAAAACCTGGAAGTCAGATTTCCTCCCCAGAACAGATCAGGTCTGTCTTAACAAACCTATCAATAATGAAAATTCTGAGGTTTTGAGTTGGTTAATATCCTGTTTTTCCTACAGACACTGTATGAGTAATGACATCAGTATTGTATACATCAGCTGGCATACTCTATAAATCATGATATATTTATATCATGATTTATATAGAAATAAAGAACATTTTGCTGAAGGAAACACAGAGAGGTCATGACCTGCACATTGCCTTTTCTTTTTTTGACAGCACAAGGTAAGGTGTTAAGTGATTCATGGATGGAAAAAATTAATTTAGAAAAAAACTGCTGTCATAGCAGCTAAAAAAAAAATTCTCCAGGCAGCTTATTTCTACTAGGAGGTGCTCTTGGACCTGGGATTGCATGGGCCTCTGGATCTGTTTTCAGATCCTCAGTGTGTGTTCTCTTCACAATGTTGTGAGTTAAAACATCTCACAGCCCAGGGAATCACAGAGCACCTGGGACTTAGATCCTGAGGCCATTCCCTCTTCCCAGTTTGGATACGTGCTGTTTATCAGGATTCCAAAATTTATAGGTAATTCCAACTGATAGATAATTTGATGGCTCATCTCTGTTGGTTGCATAATGAAGCACAAGAGGCAAAGATACTCCACAGAGTTAAGATCAATGTGTTAGACCAGTAAGCAGAATGAAGTCCAATAATAGACTACTCAGTATTCCATGCAAAATTTCCTGTAGCAAGGTGGATTTTGAGTTTGGGATTTGTGTGTGGGGGAGTTGTTTTTGTTGGTTTTGTTGGGATTTTTTGGGTTTAGTTTTTTTTTGGTTTTTTTTTTTTTTTGGTTTGGGTTTTTTATTATTTTTGGTTTGGTTTGGGTTTTTTGTGTTTTTTTCCCCTATAGCTTAAAGTATAATTCTTGCATATACACCAGATTTAAATGCAAAACCTTTTTTCTTCTTCATGTATGTAGGAAAAATGCTTGCAGTTAACCCATTCTCAGTGGGACTCCTGCATGTGCTTTTTTCTGGGTTTGTGTGAAAACTGTCCAGACCTCTTCTAAATGCAAGAAATATTTGTAGCTACAGTTTATGGTTTAAAATGAACCACAAATTACCACCCAGCTGGATTTATTAGAGCTTATTTGGGTTTGTGTGATTCTCACTCAGTATTTTTCTGGCTGCATTGTTTCTCCAGGTGTATGAACCAATGGACTGCAGTTTCTGGAAGGCTGTGCACGGATCTGAGAGGTCCAAGTCCAACAAGACCAAAGACTGGAAGAGCTTAGCACAAGGTGCCTTTATTTCCACACCCTGTTGGACCTGAGCATCCTTGCTGCTGGCCACACCACACAGTGGGTTAGCTCCTGCCAGCTGGTGTCCTGATCTGCCTCCTTCCTCCCGAGTCCTCAGTACCACTTCCCTTGGGATTGGGATCAGTGGGCAGCAAAGGCTCTTTCCCTGGCAGATCACAGCATGGCTCAGTTTGTGCAGTCCTCCATGCTGGGTGTCCCACAGGAGGCCTCACTTTGGGAGAGCCTGCAGTGGCACGCCCTCGGCAGTGCTGGCTTCTGGTGGCACTTTTACTCTGCAAGAAAAAAAATCACTTTAAAAAAAAAACCACATCTTCATGCAAACACCTGATGTGCACTCTTTTGCCTTTACGGCTATTAATCAGTAAATGCAAAGATGGAACTTGCTTCTACTATAAAGCAAATAATGCAAGTCCTCTAAAAGGTAAGAGCAATGCAAATCATCAAGCTCCAGGCAGAAGAGAGAAATCCCCAGTAAACTGTATTTTCTGTTTCAACTTACTACTGTTCATTATGAGGCCTCACAATAGAAAATGTGAGCTGAGAAAATAATGAAAAAGACACCGTGAGAGTGCCAAATAGAATTCCACCTGAGTGTTTGGTGATGGACTACACAGAGAACACGTGGAGCTGTGCTGTGGGAGGGTCACAGACTTGCTGTGCACTGTAGATTGCTTTCATACTCTATAGTTTACGTGCCTCTCACTTCTATAAATGCTGCATTTCAGTGCCATAAACCACATTAAAACCCTGACCCACAGCTGTGCTTCCTCCTTGGCTCTTCAGGGACTTGACAAGGGTTGGGAGCAGAACTGGGCTTTGCCTTGGTGGCTTCCCTCTGACCCCCTCAGCGCAAACGTGTGGATGGCCAGAAAAGCGGGAAGGCCAACAGTCCAACAACCCAACTGGGCTGTCCCTTCTTCCGCTGCCGCCCACAGACGGGGAAATTGCAGGCAGCAGAAAGGGATGTCCCCATTCCTCATCAGAATCCATGTGCAGGGCAAGACGGGGGTCACTCACTGTGGCTTCTCCACGTCCTCGATGCCCTCGGGCAGGCGCGCGTTGAGCGTCTCCGGGAGCAGGAAGGCCGTGGCGCCGCTGCACACGGCCACGGCGCAGTATGTCACCTCGGGCAGGGACCGCCACACCTCGTCCAGCAGGAACACCAGCGGGGCCAGCGCCCCTCCCAGGCGCGCCAGGAACGACGTGTACCCCATCCCGTTCTGCCTGGAAAGGGGCACACCGCCACAGAGGGAAACAGAGGCCTACTTGTGTCATGGCAGGCCTCCGCCCTTTTCCCCTCTGCCATTTTCCCTCTGCCATTGTTATCTTTTCTTGCTTCATAGCTTCCTAAAATCATCATCATCTATCCCAGAGATCAACTGTTGCTGCTGTGAGAAATAGATTTATGTCTATTGTGAGAAAGAAGGTGCAGTTCCACACTAAGAATACCTGCTCTAAAGCTGTTTCCACTTTAAATGTCTAAACCCTGAGAGCAATTTCTAATAGTAAGACTAGTGAGTCTTCCAACCTGCTTAGAGCAAATCCAAGTTCCTCCTTCTCCCAGGTATTTCTAGGCAGGTGGCATACACTAGGGATACCTGTGAGCATTTTTGGTCCAAGGAAGGAGCCCTTGGAGAGGAGACCAGAAATTAAGACCTAATTTTGAGGGGATGGGTGGCATTTCACACTCATTACAAGGATCCCAGGACCTGCTTGTGCATACACAGAACAAGTACTGCAGAAGGAACCAACAATTTTGTCTTTGCCAATGTCTTTGAGCATGAAAGATACAAACTGATCTGCGATAAGAAATGTCAGACCAGTGTGACTGCTTTGGTTTAAATGTGCATCTTTCCCCATATGCAACAGACCTTTGAAAGCTAAAGGACTAAATGGCAGAGGAGGGTACTCTGGGCAGGAAGGGACAGAAGTGAAGTAGCCCACAAGGCCTGCTGTCATTCATGAGGTTTTTTTCAGACTTCCACAGAGAAATCAGTGAGGTGATGCCCTCCAACAGACTTAGCTATATCCCTGCCTATGCAAGTGCTAAATCTGGTATTATGTTACCATTCCCCAGGTATGTCAAATAAGCTCTGGTTTTCCTCCTGAAAGGCTGGTTAATGGCTGCTTTAATATCATCCAATGTCCAAAAGACTCTCAAACATGTGGTAGTATGTGTCCCTTGTAAAACTTGGTATTCCAAGTTATTATTTTCAGGTTCTTTTAACAGTCCCTGACAGATTATAACAGGGAACAAAGACTTTACTAAGCACAGGTGCTTTATGGAGTGCAAAGATATTCCCACACAGAATACTCCTCACCTTTCCATTCATCTTCCTGTCAGCACAACCTAACCATCCACAACCCAGGTGAACAAAAGGGAGGCTTTCTGCCTCTCTCTTGTGAGTATATGAAATCCCTAGAACCTGCTAGTTCCAGAGGCAAGGGGCCAGTGCTGCAGGATGGTCACCAGCACATCCTGCTGTGCTGATGGCCTGAGCAGCCCAGCCAGGCCCCGGGGGTGTGCTCAGCTGGGTGGCATCTCTTACCTCAGAATGGTGGGGTAGAGCTCTGAGGTGTACAGGAAGA